GAAACCTCAATATAGGCATATGAAAATGTTTTTAATACTCTTACTATATTTATCTTAATCTATTCTAAACTATTTAGAAATGTTGTCCAAAAGTATGTGTGTGGAATAACATGAATCTTTGTTGCTTTTTATGCTGTTCCCACTGAATTCATGGAACATTAGAGCAAACAAAATGCAATAGCACAACCTACTGAGCAAAATATGAAATGCACTGTGGATGTTTTGCTCTATATGAACATACTAGAAGAAACATCACTGATGGAAAAACAAGAAAAGAAAAAAAGAATAAGTTAAATATTACCATGCTGAAAATACACCCATTTTATCTTAATTGTTTGCTTAATTCAGATATGGTAATATAAATTCACTGGCCAGTTCATAAGGTACACCTTGCTAGTGTTGGGCTCAATTTGCCTTCAGAGCTACCTTAATTTTTTGTATCTCTTTCTGGATTGGTGACTGTGGAGGCCATTTGAGTACATCATTGTCATGATCAAGGAACCAATTAAATGATCTAAGCTCTGTGACACAGCATGCTAACCTCCTAGAAGCAGCTTTTGGTCATGAAGGGATGAACCTGGATGACAGCAATGGTATTTAAATAATGCTTGGTATATCCCCCAACACAATTGCAGCAGCCGGAACTGTTGATATAAGGCAGGATGGATCCATGCTTTCATGTTCTTTATGCCAAATTCTGACCTTAACATCTGAATGTTACAGTAGAAATCAAGACTCAGTGGATCATGCAATATTTATCTTCTATTGGTGGCCAAAAATCCTGCATCCTGCAGCTTAAATTTAGGTTAAAATTGTGTGAAAGAGGTCAAATCAAATTCATTGCTGAAATTTCAAATTGTAGTTAAAACTGGTGCTCAAAATGAGAACCATAAAAAATAAACACTGGGACTTGTTACACATACACATCCACATTCACTCACATGCACTCAGTCATACCAAACTTGAGCATCGCCCATCTTTACCTTTTGATACTTTCTTTCAAACTCTTAAAAAAGCACATATGTCAGCTCATTAAAATTAAGAGGAAATTAATTATAGTAAAGACTTCAGACTGGTTTGTGAACTGCAGCATCATGCAGGAGAGCCAGAGTTATAATTTTAAGGTACCATCCCAACAAGAATTCTTTATTGAGGTTTTAAAATACCTGGTTGCTAAAACATAATTGCATTTTCTGTCTAGGTCCCATCAGGTGAACTGAAACAATTGAGAAGTGATCTTTGAACTGGCCTCCAAAGTCACTATCACATGCCTGTATGATTTGTCAAAAGAGTCATTTATTTTGAAGGACAGTGAAATCCTTTGCAAAACGTCAAACAGCTCTGACCGCTTCACCTCCTCCGTAACAATTTAAATACTGGAGATTTTCAGTGGAGTTGACACAGCAAGATAACACAATTCTCATTGTTTCCTGGTACACTTGTGGCTCTAATTGCTGAACATCTCCAATATTGAATAAGGACTTTAATTGGGTAGTTGCACATGTGGGAGAGATGACTGCAGGAGAATTGTGTTTCACTCCCCCAAAACCTCTTAGACAGATCCATATCTCAAGTTTCAAACACAGTAAAATCAGCAAATACAAAAAAAGATCAATACCCCCAGGTATGAAGAAAAAACAGGCAGTGGCATCAGGAAGAGGTTGTCCTTCACGACTATTGCTTTGACTTACAGAATTGCCAGTTAATGCCAGTATACAGAGTTAATCTTCTTATTCTTGTTCATACTCATGTCCAAATAACAATGAGCTTCTCGGAAACAGGGTTGTGAGAAAGGCACTACAGTGGTACAGTCTGGTCTCACTGGAGGAAGGGTGAGGGTCTGCTTTGCATCCTCAGGACTTCCTGTTTGGGAGTGCTCCAGTTTGTAGATATCTGACTTATTGACTTTATTCTAAAGATCCATTCAACAGAACCACAATTCTGTCTTTCAGCAGCACATTTAGCAAGTGCTTTGCAGTAAATGTAATCTCCCACCAGATGGCGACAAAATGTGACACACTGTGAACTGAGGCGCGCGTGCACACACACAAGCACATACATGAACCCAGAGCACTCATTTTGTGACTTAAGATTAACCTTAATGATGAATTATTTACTGGATACCCGACACTCAGCAACATTGGACCTTTTAAACAGCGTAGTTTTGAGTGAAAAAATCGGATGATGTAGCAATTCCGTGTTCGTGAAGTTGATGTAAAACTAAACGTATAGGAGGAAAATATTTAAGAATAATTAATAATACTTGTTAAAAAACGCTAATATGACTCCCAGTAATTCTATGCCTAGACTTTATAGAAAGTGAGATGGACCTTTTATGTTCCAGCCAGATAAGACATATTGGTATCCTGAGAATATTTGCACAGCCACATTACTGTCAAATATACCATTAAACATTTTATGCTTTTACTTGTATTTAAGTTTGAAAATGCTCTTAGCAATAGCCTGCCTACCTTATTTGCTTGAAGTGAGAAGTAGAACTCTTTGGGTTAAATAAATAAATAAACAATTTGCAGTTTGTATTTAAAATCATTTTTTCTACGTTAACCATGCCAGGAATTAACATTAATGTTTTAGGTATGATAAAATATGCATTTAGGAGTAGCGAATTGAGATTGGTAAACTGAGCATGCGCCTCGGCAATCCCATGGCAACCACGTTTGGAACGAAGGCATGACATAACGTAACCTACGTAAAACAAATGCGTACAGACTTCAACGTAGAGCCCCATTCTGGCTAGTAGTTAAGTATTTACGTTAACTAATTACGAGTTTTTTATTTAACTTTATTAACATAATTCACGTATGTGCGCTACAAAGTGGGACCAAGGGGAAATTACTTCACGTAATATATACGGAAAGCCACGGTAGTCTCCTCTTTTCACCCGGAAGGACAGGTTAGCGGAGAGGAAGCTCTTCTCGTGCTCAAAATGCGGACTGAGGACGCTGATTGTGTTTCCAACTCAGTCGCTTACAAGAAGTTCTTCTCTAAGTGTTTAGAACAATAAAAAGGGACCTGTTTGGATTGCTTACATTGTGGATACATTTCGTAAGAAAATGTAGGTATGTATGCTTTTTCAGAGGCTCTCAAGTACAGTCAGTCAGTGTTAGTCATTATTTTTAATCCCAGCTCGTCGTGTATTATTCGTATCTTATAACTTTGATTGTAGCATCATCACTGAGGATACAAAATACGAGGAAACAATCTTTATATTAATGTATCTCTGACAGACATGGCGTTTCTCCCAGTCCTTGATCCTCAACATAAACCCGAAGAAGGAATATGGTTAGTGAGTTGAAGTACTTTCAGTGCACTTGTGATTTTAAAAAGAGTATAACATTGGATGTAGCCTCTGGTTGAAATTGTTCTGTTGCTAATAGGTATTCTTTGAGACCCAGGGGAAGTGCTCCAGGTGTTAGTGTTGGTCACACCTGTATATTCACTCCATCTGAAGATGGAGGAAAAGGGAGACTCCTTATTATTGGAGGAGCCAATCCCAGTGGCAGTTTCTCAGATTCGCACATCATAAATCTAGGTAAAAAAAAAAAAAACCAGCCTACTGTCACCATCAAAGTCTATGAAGGTAAGAGTTTGGATATTATTCTTTAAATTTCCCAAATAGTGTTTTTATACAAAGACTCCAATGACAAGAAACCCGTGACAGTGAAATAAATAAGTTCCACAAGTCTAATTGTTGACTTTTTTTTTCTTTAGGTGAGCGTCCTTTGACCAAAGACAACCATCTCCTGGGTACCTTTGACCTGACTGGCATCCCCCCTGCTCCTCGCGGTGTACCGCAGATTGAAGTCACCTTTGAGATTGATGTCAACGGCATTCTGCGTGTCACTGCTGAGGACAAGGGCACAGGCAACAAGAACAAGATCACAATCACAAATGACCAGAACCGGCTAACGCCCGAGGACATCGAGCGCATGGTGAACGACGCAGAACGCTTTGCTGACGAAGATAAGAAGCTGAAGGAGAGGATCGACGCTCGCAACGAGCTGGAGAGCTACGCATACTCCCTGAAGAACCAGATCGGTGACAAGGAGAAGCTTGGTGGCAAGCTGTCAGATGACGATAAGGAGTCCATTGAGAAGGCAGTGGAGGAGAAGATTGAATGGTTGGAATCCCACCCGGGGCGCGGGGGGCGCCCGCGGTACGAGGGCTGGGAGCTGCAGATGACTAGGGCTTGAGAGCGTGAGGAGATTTTGATCCACAAGGCGACCGGAGAGTCAGGCAAGAAGAGGAGCTTGAGGAGGTGGTTCAGCCCATTATCACCAAGCTCTACGGTAGTGCAGGTGGTCCTCCACCAGAGGGCAGTGAGCAAGATGAAAAGGATGAGTTGTAGGCAGGTCTGAAGTCTTGTCGCTCCTTGGCCCTCTGGCATGTTGGTGTACATATTGACTGATGGGACTCAAATTGTGAGAGGAGTGGTCGGGAAGGGGCTGACAATAACAAGTGACCATACTGAATTTCCTGAAAGACTTTAAAACAAGTTTCAGTGTGTGAGACGTGTTCTCTTCGCTGGAAGGCGGAGATATTTGTCAGCCTGGATATGAGGCTTGTTGCTGCTGTTCTCAGGCAGTCCTGATGGGGTTCCGGAAAGGGGAGGGATGTAGTTGGGTGGGAGGTGGTTTTGGGGTACACTGAATATGTGTCTGTGGGATGAAGGGCTCTTTATTTAATGCAACATATCTGGTAGTATGACAAAAATGTTTGATACAGTTTTCGTCGTCTATTATATATTATAGGATATTTTCCACATTGGTAAAGTCAACCTCTGTAAAACTTGCATCTCATTCATGAAATCAATTTTTCATGAATGACGAAGATAACCTTTATTCTTCGCATTTAATTTTTTTATCATGTGTCAATTTTTTCCTAATCTTTTTTTTAATTTTTTTTTTATCAACAGACAATACTCATTATATATGGTACCCAGAGTATTCATGCCTCCAAATACAAATAACAGGTTTATTGCCTCAGGGGGTGCTGGTCCGTTGGCTTCCTCCTCTGGATTCCCATCATCACACACTGTCCAGGGAAATATACACATGGAGTGGTCAAGACGCTTTGGTGGCAGAGCTCCTTTGAATTTCATTAGGAGCCATCTACATTTGTCTGCAAGCAGAAAATATACAAGCAATCATACTTAATGTGTGTAAAGAACTAAAATAATATATTTATATAGGGTAAAAAAACAAACAAACTATGAATGGCTTAAAGACAGTGTACCAGTGTTAAATCTGTACATGGAGTTGCTTGCTCCATCTGCTGTCATCCCTCCAAAGATGTAGATATTTTTGCCCAGCACAACAGCTGAGTGGGCAGCTACTCCTGGTGGAATATCTCCTTTGGCCTGCACTTTCTCCCACTTCACGTTCCCTTTAAAGATAATTTAACAGATATTTTTATATCATCCCAGTGCAATGCAGTGATACTCTGAACATGTATGATGCATGTGTGTTGAAATACAAAGTGCTTCCTTTGTGAATCACAGATGTGGACAGTCTTACTTGAATCAAGAGAATACATATCGTTGTGGAATTTGTCTCCAGCCATGCCCCCATGAATATAGATCTTTGAATCCACCGCTACAATGATGTGACCATGTCTGGCTGGAGGGTGCCTGCCTTGTGTTTCAGGTTGGGACCAAGTAGAAGAAACTGCAACAGATTTACACAGAAGAGATGGACGGAAAAAAGATTATTTTTATATAAGCATATACGCTTTTCATAGCAATTGTCAATAGTGAAACATGAAAGAAACAGGAGAATATGGATTTTCTTTTTGAAAATCTCAATCACAGATAGGAAATGCCTCGAACAGTGACATATCATATTTCCTCAGCACTTGATCTTTTTGTATCTACCAGTGAATGAATAATGAGTGTATACATTCTCTTAATTGTTTGCATCATATATCAATTATGTCTGTTATGTGTGTTTTTTTTTCTGTTTTTATAATCAGCATTGGGAAGGTTACTTCTTAAAATGTATTCCACTACAGATTACAGAGTACATGCCCCAAAATGTATTTTGTAACATATTCCGTTACGTTACTCAATGAGAGTAACGTATTCTGAATACTTTGGATTACTTAATATATTATCATGTTTTTACAACTACATGAATGTACTATTGCTGTGTGATTTATTACTATTAGAAGGCTTACTCAGCCATACCAATACCAACTAGATTTTTAAATCTTAATATAAAATGAGTAACAGTAGGGTGGACATTAGGTAAGGCTGCACTTTTTGCAGCGAATCTCGTATAGAAAACTATTCAGCGTATATAAAACAGGTCCCGCTCCGAACCATAGTAAAGGGAACTCTGGCTAATACGTCGGGTTCTGTGTCGGGCTCGTAGCCTGAAATCTAGTTATTACTATATTTACATGCTTCCACTCCACGTTTCTGCTCGGTGACAACTCGTACTTTTCCACTCTCCTTTTTCTCCCTCCCTCGCTCACAGACACATAACGGGTATGGCAGTCCATTCTCCCTGCAGCACGGACTACACTGCCCATGAGGCTACATTCTTTAGGGCGATGCCTGTAACACTCTGCCTATTGCCTTCATATTAAAATTTTTGAGATATTTTTAAAAATATTTCTTCACGTCATTATACGGGTCGCAAGTATGAGACATGATCGGAGATTGAACACAGCATTAGAGCCTCTTAATGCGTGTTTTGTTTGGGTTTCCACCGGCGATGGAATTACCAAAAATAGAGAGGGCATAGCCTAAACATATGAAACAGGAAAAGACCGCCGTGTAATCCATTTATTTCAACAAAGTAACTGTATTCTGAATACCACCTTTTTAAACGGTAACTGTAACGGAATACAGTTACTCATATTTTGTATTTTACATACATAACGGCCGGTACATGTATTCCGTTACTCCCCAACACTGTTTATAATATACATATAGAGCAGGGGTCCCCAATCCCAGTCCACGAGGGCCAGTGTCCCTGCAGGTTTTAGATGTGTCCTTGATCCATCACAGCTGATTTAAATGGATAAATACCTTCTCAACATGTCTTGAAGTTCTCCAGAGGCCTGGTAATGAACTAATCATGTGATTCAGGTGTGTTGACCCAGGGTGAGATCTAAAACCTGCAGGACACCGGCCCTCTGGACTGGGATTGGGACCCCTGATATAGAAGGTTTAGTCATGTGAGCATCTAAGACACCAAAAGTGATGAAAACCAAAGAATTATTATTACAAATTACATTTGTAAAAATAATAAGACATTTTTAAAACAATTCAGTACCAGGTTTTCCATAATTTTCTCACATGATTCAGTAAAAATGAAATTTGACCTAAAAGCCATTCTAAGCTGTGGAATAGAAATGCTATTTGCCTATGGATCAAGTAAGTTTCAGTAATAAGGTCTACAGCCAATGCAAAAAAAGAACAATTTCTATCCTGATTGAAACTGACGTAAAATTGGGGCTCTATTAATAACCTCTACTGCATCAAAATGTCTTTACTGAAAATAACTAAAATACATTTTGACCCCTGGAATTATTTTCAGACGGCCACCGTTCTTAATCCATTCTGGTGAAACTGCGCTCGCATGAATGAGAAATGTAAAATATATGAAATTCAACTATGAAAGTTCAAATTTAATGACATTATCTCTATTTGATCTCGTGACTTTTACTCTGATTTCACATCTGATCTTCCTAGAGTAGCAAATACTTTGTAATGCTGTAAATTAAACGTACATATTTTTGAGGCATACGATAAAAAAATCCCACTTTATTTTTTCATTGTCTTTTACACTATCAATTATTTTACACATTATTTTAAACTGCTGTCAGTGAAATGAATACAACCTTTGCATTTCATTTATTGGTACCCTACTCTGTTAAACAATTTAACAGGTTTGATTGTGGAGACATCCACAGATAGATATGTAGCCCAGTGAATTGATAGGTTTTCTAATATCCTCTCTTTATAGATTTTTTGTCCTTATTTTTAAAACATTATTATATAAAGCAACCATTGACGATTGAGAAAGCATAAGATTACTATTTATGATGAAAATTCAACTCATCAATTTACATAGATGTCCAATAGATCAATCAATATCTTAGACACGGCACCCAATCAGCTATTTCAGTTTTCACATCAAAACCTGGAAGAAATAACAAAATTTCATCTCTGAAGCAGATTTCTTCTGAAATACTGTGAGGTGGTGTTATTGTAATGCACTGCGATAAGCAGCAGGTTTATCTGACACAAACCTGTATCAAACACATGAAGTTTGGAGTCAGAGACAGGTGCAGATCCTATTTCCCCACCAGAGAACACAAAAAGCCTGTCTCCAAGGCAGGCTGAGGTGGTGTGGTATGTCCTGGGACTCGCGGGTGTCCCATTTGTTTCTACAGTATTCCAGCGAGGGTTACTGTCTAGACACACACAGAATGGAAAAGATTTGTGGGTATTCAATATATCGTGTAATGTATTTATATGATCATGTATGGTTACAGACTACAAGTTTTCAAGGTTTTCACAGCCATGGTTTCACAGGTCAACAAGAAATCTGAGTGAAACCTTTCTCATCTGTGAAAATCCATCAGATTACTAGGTTAGGTTAAAATAGTATTTACCTGCCACCTGTACATTTTGGATACAGTTGCGATTTCCAGTCTGCTGCGCACCCCCAAACACCCACAGGCTCTGGGGGCAGCTCTCTGGTAAAAACTGCAGTGTTCATGCATTGCCCCTAAATGACTCAGCCATGTCCCATTCATGATTGTCTGGTCCATACAAAAACAAAAATGCAAAGAAAGTTATATAATATCAGTCTGATGGCTGATGATAACTTTAGCTTCTTGTCATAATTAAAAAAGACGTCCCATTAAAGCCTGTAAAACACAAGCCTGATAACTATATTATAAAATGCAGAGGTATACTGAGGTCATAATACTGTAAAAGCTGGCTCTGGATATATGTATATGTTCAGAGCCAGCTTTTACAGTGTGTGTGTGTGTTTGTGTGTGTGTATATATATATATATATATATATATATATATATATAATATATATATATATATATTTTTTTTTTTTTTTTAACCTTA